AAAAAAAATTTAAAAACAAAGTAATTCTTATTTTGATTTTCATGATAAGCTAAACAAAATTAAAGATTCAAATGAACAGATGTAGCTGAACTGATTCAATATTTCGATTTACAGAATTTAATACAAATCAGATATTTCCAATGATTAACATTAGTATTTAATACTGGCATAAATTTTCAAAAGGGCAGTTAAAGCAAGATTCAAATGAACAGATGTAGCTCAACTGATTCAATATTTCAATTTACAGAATTTAATGCAAATCAGCTATTTCCAATGATTAACATTAGTATTTAATACTGGCATAAATTTTCAAAAGGGCAGTTAAAGTTTATATTTTACAATTTCCTACCTTCATTGCTTCTATTTAAAAGGAGGGAGGAAAATCTTTCATCAACATTAAGTCTAATACCTCAAATTTTAACCTATCAACTTGATCAGACTGGCAGATAAAGATGAAGTTTTAAAGGACAGAAGGGTTCTGAGAGATAAGAGAATAAGTCTGCTACATAATAGGTATTCAGGTTATGTTTGACAAATAAATGGATTGAGAGAATGGATAAATATAGTTGGAGAATTCAATATTTTTTTTAAAAACTTTTATAAAGTAAAGCAATACTTTTGCAATAGTAATAACCATTTATATTTGCTTTTTATTTTCGTAAGAATACAACTAAAATGATTAAACTATAGTGTCTGCTTATATATGATACATCTGTATATAATAAAACTATGTGTATAACAAAATGTATACACAATAAAATCTACACTCATGGATAAAAAAATTCCCTTTACTTCTGATGTGGCTAAAAATTGGCAGAACCTATTAATCCACAGAAAAAAATTAATGGAAAGTGGAAAATTATTTTGATCTGTGCAAGATTCATATTCCTACACTTCGCAAGGATTATTTCATTAATAGTAACTTTTTACTAGAACTTTCATACATGTTCATTGTAGAAATCACAGATATGAGAAAGGAAAAGCAAATTTCACTTATACAAGTGTCCAGAAATAACTGGGCATTAACTTTAGCTCTTTTGAGCACATCTTTGGCTAACATAAGACCATAATCTATTTGTGCATATGTATAATCAAACTTTTTTTCTCACTTAACAAACCAAAGTACATCTTCAGCTGTCTACACACAGCCGTATCTACGCCATCTTCAATGGTCACACACTGTTCCATCCCATGTATGCACCGCGATTTTTTTTTTATAAAACCCATCATACAAATTCTTCTTAATGCATTCCTATTTTAAGCATTGATGAGAAAAGCAAGTCACATGTATCCCTAATTATTTCCTAAAGATATTTTTGTATAATGGAATTGATGGGTAAAAGGCATAAACATTTCTTGAATGTAGTACTTACTGCCAAATTCTCTACTGGAAAACTCATAAGCAACTTAAACTTTAAGCAACAGCATAAGTACCGCTGTTCTTCATCCTCAAAAACCTCCTGGATGGAAAACAAGCTCTAAATTCTCACATATATTTGGGCACTTCTGGATTTTCAATCCCATTCTATTCATTTACCTGTCTTTTCAGCTGTCAGTAAACTAATAATTTGTGGAAATTCATAACACATTTCAATACCTAAAAGGGCAAGTGTTTGCTTATAACAATACAAAATGTACCTTAATGTCATCACAACAGTGAAAGACAGCATGAGTAACTCAAAAAATTTTTAATCTCAATTTTTTATTTGGCTTATGTAAAAATAATAAATTTTAAAAGAGCTCACATTTTTATATAAATTAGTTTTCCTATACAACAATATGGAGCTATCTTCCCAGTTCAGAGTTTCCTTCTCAAATCCTTCAGTAAAAAAGTATATATATGTACATGTATACTGATTTAAAATGCATATTGGAGTTTATTCAAAGAATTTTTAGCCCAGAAATTGATATATTATGGGAATTATTTTCCTCATGCACTTTCTTATAACATACATAACTTTATGGTTTTTAAAATGTGAACATTATAAATAGAATGCTGTATATACTTAATTTTGATAGTTAAATCACTTTACCACCTTCGATAAAGTGCTCTGTAAGGGGAATTCTGAATGGATCAAAAACCAGCTAAAGTTTTGTTTCTGTTTTTCTGCTCATAAAGGTGGCCTGGGCACTTGACCTTTGCTCAGTTTCCATGTCCCAGGTGCTGAGGAACGTACGGAGGGAAGAAAGCCTAGCATCCTGGGTGGCAGCAGAACTCAGGCCCCACCATGCAGAGCCCAGGAAGGTGTGGCTTCTCTCACATCTGCCCCACCTCCTCCCACTGACCCTCACTGCCAGTCCCAGGCCCTTACCTATCCTTCCAGTCTCTGTCGTTCAGGCCACCTTCTCCGCGCAGAAGGACCTGCCGTACTTTTTCCACATCACCCCTTCTGGCAGCTACATGGATCTTTCCCAGATTTCCATGTTGGTACCTAAGTCGAAAGTATCTGATTCTCTTTCTCAACCACTTAGTGTCCACACTGCTTTTCTTTAGACTGGTGGAGGAGACCAAAGGGGACTGGCCCTTCTTCCTGCACCAGCCAGAAGGCTCCTCCATGGTGGAAGATACCAGCTTCAGAGACGCCTCACCTCCCCGCTCAGCTATTACCCGCCTCTGAAGCCCAATATTATTAAATACTATTAGATATTATTATGGATAAGCCAACCGCTCCGCCACAACAGCCCAACTGGAAGCATCCAGTTTTGTGACTGTAACCAAGCAACGGGACTAAACACAAATGTGCACGTGCTCAGAACCCTGGTGGCCAAAGGTTCTCAGTGGGCAAGGGCAGGGACCCGTCCAATGGTTGGTAAGTGATGTCAGCAGTCACTAAGTAGATTTAAAGCTGGTTCTGGTTGGCTACTTGTTACCATGGCTACAGGTCAGCGCTTTCCTAAGTTTGAGGCAACTTTAGCCAGATGTTTTCTGTTTAAAAGTTGCCTTTCATCAACTATGTTCAAAATGAAAAATATTTTACATTCTAGAATTTTAGACTTATTTTTGAAGTTGGGTCAAGAAGAATTGTTTAATAATTGCGTTCAGGAAAATTTCCCTTTGTTTTTAGGTGACTGGTCTTAACTAGAAGAGTTATATACATAACTTTGTTTTTGTAAATAATTGTTAGTCTTCTTTTTGCTTTTGATATCTTTAGGGCTTCATGCTCAAACCCTAACATAATCTCCAGTTGGAAATTTCAGTCTCTTTGTAAATTTTTGTAGGTATATAATAGTGATATTGTATGTATGTGTTTCCTCCATAAAATAGTAATTACAATTTTCTACTGGTAAACATCCAGCTTTTAATAGTAGGATTAGACACTAAATTAAAAGCATATAAAAGTTACCAAATCATTTTATTTTCAAACCACATCATAACTAATCAAAAGAGTGCTATTTTTGAACTATATATAGTAACAGATCCAGGTAGAATACAGTGCAAGAAGCTTAGGGTCTTCCAGTATGGGCAGAGCTGCAGGGGACAAGGGGCAGAAGGCAGAGAGCAGTGGAACCTCAGGCAGCATCTAGCAGAGACTGGTGACCAGCAGCACACTCCACACCCAGGAGACCCTGAGAGGCTTGTAGTTGAGAATGGTTTACATGTACATTACATTGTTGCAAGTATCCTACTGCTTTTGAAAGACAGGCTAAACAGCAGCACACTCCACACCCAGGAGACCCTGAGAGGCTTGTAGTTGGGAATGGTTTACATGTACATTACATTGTTGCAAGTATCCTACTGCTTTTGAAAGACAGGCTAAATTGTGAAGCCAACAGTCTTATTTACAAATAAAAAAAAACACTTCAGTTTCATATATGGAAAATCCATTAGAATATATTTGTTTTGGAATGTGTAAGCAGTTCTGGGGAGAGAAAAGAAAAATGGATTCTTATGAACTAGGTCAACTACAGGTACTGGCTATAGTTGCTTCACTAGTCAGGCAGGGGTGTTAAAAATATTGAGCAAAATCAAACATAGGATCAATATTTCTAGAGTCCATATCCACTGATAATACTCACAAATTGGCAAATGTTGAGAAAGAGTCCTAGCTTCCAGGCCAAGCAGTCACAGTGGGTAAGCTTGAGCATGGGCACATTCCTCCTTGGCGTTATTTCAGGTTGTGAGGTAATATTATTTAACCAGTAATCAAGTTTAAGGAAAAGCAGCATCTGTAACTAACTTGACACTGAAAGATGATGTCTCAAGAACAAGTGGTGAAAGAGGAGTAGCTCAGTTTTGATGCCAAGATCAGCCTCTTGCACATATCACTAGACACAGAAAATGTATTGAAAGAGGGCCGGCCCGGTGGCGCACTGGAGAGTGTGCCGCTTGGGAAGCGCAGCGGCGCTCCCGCCGAGGGTTCGGATCCCACATACAGACCGGTTCCCGCTCACTGGCTGAGCGAGGTGCGGGCACAGCACCAAGGGTTGCGATCCCGTTGCCGGTCCTGGTCCGGTACGGGCACGACACTGAGGGTTGCAATCCATTGCCGGACACGAAAAAAGACAAAAAAAAAAAAAAAAAAAGAAAGAAAAGAAAATGTATTGAAATAAAAGTCAACACTAGTCTATCCATGGCACACTGTCTACATTACCCAGCAATCTTCTGCAGTATGTAGGTCATCATTTCACACACTCTGTGATCTCTAACACTGTGGGGTGGTCAGATATACTTGTCAAGGTGACTATACTTGCCAGATGTCACTAAAAGACTGAGTGGTGGAAAACACTGTGAATTACACACTTGAAAACAAGTAACACCTGATGATCTCTGGAGTTACACCTGATCACTTCTATCTTTAATGTCATCCTATTGGTTTCACAGGCTATCATGCCTATGTTCTTTTTATTAAGGTAACATTTTTCACCTTAATTAGTATATGAGTAATTTTGCAGTGGCCAAGTTCTTGCTCATTAATACACTCTCTCTCTGCAGATTATAAGAAGACTTTAGAGTGTTTTTATAAATGTCTTCATTTTATGCTATTTCTCATTGGTATTCACTGGTTATCTGAGGGGACAGGGCTGGGGAGATGAATGAGAATACTTAGTCCCTGGCCTATACCAGAAACTCCAGGACGGATAGAGGTTGAAATCCTCAACAAAGGGAATCCACAGGTCCAAGCTGAGACATTACTTGAGGCAAGGTGAATGAACCAAAATCTTATTGGCAAATCTAACATTTATGAATTTTTTAAGTTAAGCCCATGTTAGAAGGTACATTAAAGCCCACAAGGCATTTTACTCTCTAGGTCTGTTTCTTCCTTCACATATTGAGTGAGTTTGACTAGAAGATCTATATTGCTTCACTTATTTTTCAAATTCTAAAGTTATGTCTCTAAGTTGAAGTTAGGATCCTCACTCATGTTTTCTTTTTTCTGGAGAAAGGAAACGAGAGCAGCTGCTCATACCCACAAGTGGGCCTGGTG